CTGCTAGCTTTCACTTCAAAACAGGTGTTTTCAAACAGTTCTCGCGTTATACCAAATCCCGTTTTGGTAGTATCCAGTTGCGACGCGTAATGTTGGAGGGTTTTAGAAACTTCCACCGCGTTCGATTTTAGTATAACATCTTTACTTCTCGAAGCCCACTCGACACGTAAAATATGCTGCTAAAACTCGTCGCCTTGTACCTGCTTTCCTCGCAGAGCTTCGCGTTGTTTCTCTGCATTCGTCCCTCTCGGCTCATCACTGAACGTCAACATCACCCCTTCCCCCCTTCGCCGCCCAACAACACCAAGATGACCTGGGCCTTGGCTTGCGTCGTCAGTGCCATAGACTCTTCCTAATGGCGCTACGGCGCCAAGGCCGTACTCGGTCCCAGGAGCGAGCGCGGAGGGAACGGCTGGCTTCCGTGGTTCGCGAACGGCGGCCGGCGTCGATCCCACGCTGACGCGCGTACACGGCGGCGTGAGGATGCCAACGTACGACAGCGCAAAGCAGAGGCGCTTAGACGGCGACGTGAGAGTCCCGAAGTGCGCGAACGTGCTACAGTATCGTATCTTCAGGAATGACAAAAGTTTTTCGTGAGCGATAAAATAAAGACGTCGAAATCTGCTGAAGTCTGCGCAGGTCCGGAATACAACGATATTAAGCGAATTACAGGGGATCCTGAGGTATTGAATATAAATTTCAGAAGTACAAATAGTACATGTTGCTGCGTGCCTCAGTGCTTGCTTATTTATGCCTTCCCATACACATGGCATGTTGCAATGCAGTTTTTGCGCTAACGCCTTACAAGTGACGGCATTTCCGGTAGCGCGTATATTTTTCCTCTAGCGTTGTAACCTACTCGTTTTACATTTTCAAAACGGGGACGGGTAACTTATTTACGTTACTTATTTTGAGTAACGTTACTCGTTAGACATTCTTCCCAAAACTTAAAAAAAAAAGTACACTTAATTTTTTTTCTTCTTTTTCTTAGGCGCTAAGCCATATAAAGTCTTGCGTTTTTTGCGTTTTTCTTAGTGTTTTTCTCGTGAGTATTTATGTGGAACCGTAAAAAAGATGAAGTTATTATGTTCAGTTTCTGGAGGGACATAATGTTCCTTGAAATATGGCGCTTATGCATACCTGAAACGTGAACGAGTAAAACGTGTTAATTCACAATTTAAAAAAAAAGTAACGCCAAAGTAACGTGCGTTACTAGGGAATTGTAGTAGACCGTTCTTCTCTGCTACGGTATCCGTGAAGAAAACGCCGCAGCTGCGCATGCGCGCCGCCAGCCTTGTCTGCACAGTTCAAGGTCTTGTGGCGGATGGCGGAGCGATATCCGGGTGCTTAGCGGGCTGCTGAAACGGTCTAGTACAATAGAGAGTTTCTGTAGACCGCGTGTCCCCCTCCGCTAAGCCCTCCGCAACGAAGAAGTCGATACTGCGCATGCGCGCCGATGACCTTGGCTGTAGAGTTCCGGCTATCGTAGCGGGTTGCGGAGGGCATTGCGGGACGCCGAAAACGATCTACGAAAACTCCCTGATGCCCCACTTTTTAACGGTAGCAGTAACGGTTCTTTTTATTCTTGAAGAGGTCGGCGACGCGTTCTTTTTATTTGCAAGTAACGAGCAACGTATTTCGTTACTCGTGTGTTTTAGAATGCAAATGCTTTCAATTAATCTTCTTCGTTATCTAATACATCTGATATCGTCCCCTGCCGAGCCCGGTACATTAGCCCTCGAGGCTTACTCCGGCTCGCTATTGTGTTTTGTTAAATGGTTATTCTACCAATAAAGTTATGTTCTATGTTCCTTGTGTTAGGAAACGCCTAAAGCACTGCTGCAATGTAACCACCCCTCTGCTGTGTTTACTTCTTTCTCGTTCCGTATACTTTTGTTTGAGTTTTCCATGCAGAAGTCGTACTTGACATAATTTCCTAGCAGTGGACGCTTCAAACAAGTCGTGGTCATTTTTTTTTTTTGTAATAATTTGTTTTATATCACAGGAGGTCGCTGTGTACAGTGACGTATTCTTTCCACCAGTGCTGACGATTTTCGCGCTTCTGCTTTCTTCGAGATTAGCCGTGGAATTTTGTGGAAGTATCGAAAATTGTGAGAAACGCCGAGAAACTTTGAAACGTATTTATGGTAGGAACTTCGAGTCACGAATGAGCTTTCAATTGCTAGTGTCGGAGGGTTCGTTGTCTCGCTCATTTGCATACATCCTCCGCGTCGTATCCTCGAGGGCGCAGAATCGGCGTGTGCCCGAACCGCAACGTGGGTTTGCGACGAAGCTGCCTCCTCCAGCTTCCACATTAACCCAATTAACTTCGTCACCCCCTGGCCAGCAATCGTGCTTTCCTCCGTCTAAATTTGCCTAATGACGAGCGGCATGGCTTCTCCGCCGATCGCTGCTCGTCGAGAAGACCGGTTCGGCTTTTCCTCTCGCTCGCCGCTTCCTCGCAACCAACAATTGAGAGGTAAGCGAGCCAGGCGCACGACCGAACACAAGAACCACACGATCTTCGAATAAAGAAGGGCCGAGGTGGAGAGATAGGAAAGAAGAACGGCCCAGCAATGTTCTTTTCCGCAAGCGCTTGCCGCCGACCTTCGCGACGACGCACCCACCCACCGAAACTACCGAAACCAGAACCGCTTCTCGAGTCACGTGACACTTTAATCCGTGACGTCTCGGGGGAAAAAAAGAAAGGTCACATGGCGTCTCGAGACGACCGCAGTTGGCCGCATTTGCGCCTTCCCCCTCTCTCCGTTCCTCGCCTTTCCGGCCGGCGGAGGCGCGCTGGGCCTTGGCTAGGCCCGCTTGTGGGCGCGTGGCAGCGGTGTTGCGAGGGCTTGACTTCAGAAGTTCGATCCGCCGACTAAGTTTTGCTTGATCGCCATTGCCGATTCCTGGCACGTGCACAAACGAAGGGTAGTTGTCCTTCCAAGGGAAATATGAAGGTGCTCGCCTCGTCGGAGCAGTGCGCGTCAGCTCGGCGGATCCGTCGGTGAGTTGGGAAGCACTCGCTTCGTCGCGGTGGTGGCAAAGTGGTCGGACTGGTCGCTCGAATGTTTCGTGCACGTGGGGGTGCCCCCGATTCTATTTCCCCTTATTGATTGTCAGTCAACCCCGTTGGACGTTGCGGGACCGAACTCGCCACTACCCTCCACTACTTTTTCCTTCGAGGTTCGGGCACTGCACCGTCTCCGGTACAGTGCCCGAATCATAGATTATACATTCTTGTTCCAGTGCTGTGCGGAGATGAGTAGATACCTTCTAAAACGCTCACATTGGGGGTTTATGGAGACATTAAAACTATGACCGCGGTGCTTGCGAGAACATTGGTAATCAGCTCTGATAATGGCGGTGACATCACTTGCGTGCTACTCTGCTTACGATTGTTCGAGCTGAACGAGCAACGGTCGCTTGGTTCCTCTGCTCGCGCACATCCAAGAGGCATCTTGGAAAGGACCGCGCTTTGAGCCCCTGACGTTAAGGTGCCGATTCCGTCATTTTTGATGCCGCTCGTAGTAGGGATCTAGGTATAATCTTCGTGTCATTGTGCCTCTCTAATACGATACCAGTCACTTGTTTCAGTTTGCATATATAGTGGAGTGAAAGTTCGGGCGAAATGTCTAGAGATTTGACTCTAAACCTTACAGCTCAACTGTTCAAAGCCAGCTACATTCTCAGCTCTCTAAATAGCGTGGTGGAAGGACGACGAACATTGTGTGTAGGAGATAAAAAGTGCAAACAATGCGAGTTTCCGTAATTTGACGAAGAGTGCTCTTGACGAACCTAGGGTAGCATAATGCTCACGGTGCTTTATTTTTTTCATTTGTGACAACAAAAACTAAGGGAGAGGGTGGGGTGAGCTTGAGCAATGTCACCGGTCTAAAGTTTTCATAATCTGATATACAAAAAATGCCGGTTTTATTTAAAAAAAAAAAGGGTTGGGAGAAATGTTTTAATTTACGCAAATTTTACTGCACGTAATCAGCGCGCAGGTTTAGGCGCTTATAATGACGCGGCACAAGGTTTTCGACGCCCTCCTTGAAGAAGGTTCCGCCTGGGCTCATCAGGCGTCACCAAGACCGTCAGTCGGCACGCGTGCAGCTCGAAAGGAGTTCCGCGTGGAGGGAGTCGGGGAAACATTGCCGTAGCGACTGCTACAGCATGTATTTAATGCTAGTTCATCGGGGATTAAAAATAAAAAAAAAAATAAAAACAAAAAAAAACAGCCTTTTTAGAAAAGAAGTATGACCTTTCCAAGTTTGTTCAACTGAAAACTCTGTCGTTCCTGAAAACTGTCGGACTTTCCCCTCGTTGCAATCCGGAACGGCAGCTTCTTTCGTCCAGTGCTCGCTCCATTTAATTTATAGCAGTCAAGACCAAGAGCGGTCTAGTTCAGCCGTTCTTAATCGCGACGTCAGTGACAGACGCTCCATTAACTGCGTTGCGTGTCCGTCCAGGTTTTTATGTCCTCGCACTTTCCTGTCCTACCAGGCGCGCTGGCCCTTCTCTGAGGCTCCATTAAATGTCCGCGAGCGCGTCACGCGAGGGAAAGTGTTCTCGATCCGTCCGGCCAGTCGCCTTCTTTTCACGCGACTCCCATTTTGTCGGTCCGTAATTTTCGGGGTTGAAATGTCGTACGCGAAGGGGTTCCAGAAGTGGCCACAAAGGGAGAGATAAGAATAGCGACAGCTCGCATGGCGCTATTTTTTTTTTTCTATTTTTTTTCTCTCGGTTCTCCGAGTTTGAGATTTGGGGGCAGGCGTGCGTTTGTGCGCCTGTCGGTTCCTCGTTACTGCAACTGGGACGTGTGTTACAATGCTTCCTGGAGGGAGGAAAAAAAAAGGCAAGATCTGGGGCAATCTGTTTCTCGCGCGGAGCCCATCTTTCTCCTGGAGCTTTTTTTTTTTTTTTTCCTCCTCTGGTCGGTTTCCCCATTGTTGTGGCCTGTCTGGCAGAGATTGCAGAAGGCCTCATTCTTCTTGCAGGAGCGGAGCCCAGCTGAGCGAGCTGCAGATGACGCGAAGTCGAGCCACGGACGCCCTGGCCCCCGCGGATCTACAGGGCAACAAGGTAGGACGATGCTCGGTTGGGGCTTTTATTTCCTTCGTCGAAAGAGTGACCTGTTGGCAAATAACGGGATGCAGCTGGGGTCACTTTAAGAAACGCAGGGTATGGCGAACTTATGAGATTGCGGCATCAGAAGGCCGAAGGACCTATCACCGACCTGGACACGGGTTTCATAGGCTGTCGGTGAATGGAGTCGAAACTTCCACAAGTTCCACTCTCTCGTTCCCCATGACTGCGCCGCGCAGCGCCAATCGGCGCTTTTCTGCGTTTTACTAGGAGTATATCGTAGGGCCCCAAACTTATCACGTGGAATGAAATCGGTGCTTAAAGTCTCTCGCAAGTCGGTGCTCAAGGTCTCTGGTAAGTTTGAGGGCTTCGACACGCTCTGATCGGGGGAAAGGGGTTTAGAAGCGTACAAAACTGATCTGTAAGGGTACACCGGCACGTTTCATAAAAAAACTAAAAAGAAAAAAAGAAAAAGAAAAACAGCGGTTCATACCTTTTCCGAATTTAGGGGATCCTTTACAAGTGAATCGGGCGTAACATAGTTCTTGAGAGTAACTGCAGTTAGAATCAGTTGTAAAACTTTAACCGCATTTGCGACTTAGCTAATTACATTTCAGCTGCTGTAACTCCAACACTTTCCTTCGGCTGGAGCTTTCACGGCTATATTTGCGACCTAAATTAAACGCACAATGATGCGATTGCTGCGCCATTGGTGCCCAAGTGCTCATCCTGATAAAAAATAATTGCATTTTCTGTATGTCCGGACAGCCGGAAGTCAAGCCTGGTTCAGACAGTTGCGTTTGACTGGGTTTGACTGCGTTGCGGCAGCGAGAAACCGGGACATCCCTGCTACTTGTATCGCGTGCCAAGAGGATTCCTTGAATTGGATTCCATGCTTCATACGAAGCACAGATGCGCTGGTGACTCGCTTTCGGTTCTCGACGCAACGCAGTCAAACGCACTCAAACGCAAGTGTCTGAACCGGCCTTTAGTCTTTATGAACGTATCGGGAGTATTCACAGGTGGCCATTGCTGTGTGCTCGACTGCTGAACACGTGTTGACGGCCAGCTTCCACGGTTTTTTGTGCAACGTGCATTCCGCACCATCGAGATTGCCGGTCTTAGCAGCCTAGTAATGCGAGCTCGTTTTGAGCATGCGCTCTAAACGGCGCCCTCAAATATGGCGTCCAGTGAATACCTCCTACGGTGTCCCCGCTGCAGATGAGAAATTTTACCAATGCAGTTACTGCAGGTGTCTGCTAGCCTGGTGTCTTTAATTAATGTACATCGCGCAATCGGGAGTATTCACATGGACGCCATATTTATGGGTGCTCTTTAGAGCGCATGCTCAGAGCGAGCTCCCATAAATAGGCTGCTCAGACCGGCAGTCTTGATGGTGCGGAATGCACGCGGCGAAATAACTGTGGAAGCTAGGCGTCAGCACGCGCTCAGCAGTCGTGCACACAGCTATGGCCGCCAGTGAATACTCCCTATTGGTTACCTTTTGTGACGTCACTACCTTGCGAACAACAAGTTCGATGGTGTTTGTAAGGAGCGTGGTGCAAGCTTTAAATCATTGCGCTCTCAAAGCAACACTACCTACAGCGTCGAAATTGAAGTTCTTCCATTCCTCTTATTTCCGTCGATGAGAAATCCTTTGCATTCGGCCAATCGCGGAAGGCCGACCACAGCGACGCTTCCGATCGCGCACGTCGCCAATAGTAGAGTTTTAGTAGATCGTTCCCATGACTCCAATAACGATACCCGATACTCCGCCACCGCCTCCCTTGAGCAAGCATAGTATCGTTATCGGGGCTATCGGAGGTATCGGAACGATTTACTAAAACTCTCTAGTGATACACGGCCGGACGCCGGTGCGATGCTTCGAGTTGTGCAACGCGAGCATTCGCGCGGCGTGCTTCGAGCTTCAGTGCGATAACACACTCGGCTACCGACCACGCATACTGTTACGTTCTGTTTAACTTCACCAACATGTGAGGAATAGACCTATTGCTAAATTACCCAAGTATCAAGAAGCAGGCAGGGAACGTAGTTACACGCGCTGCGCTCGCTCGCCTTACCTGTATTAAAGATATTAAAGAAATCACAAAGAAAAAAAGGCGTTTGTGGACGGACGTTTGGAACTGCCACTTGTTTTAGATTTTTTCTTTATAAAAAAATGCTACTGCCAACGCCAACACGCGCAGCGCGTTGGCACTACTTTCCCCGCATGCTTCTTGATGCTTGGGTGATTTAGCGATAGGGCTATTGGTGGAAACATTGTACAAAATGTTTGTTGATCGTTCTCGATAGGAAGTTTTAGTATGGCGTACCCAAGCCTTTGCCTATACCGCAAAGAATAGCGCCGTCGCCACTGCGCGTGCGCCGAACGCTAACCGCAATTTACACTTTGCGCGCGCTATTTTAGCGTACGTTATTTTTCGGAAACTGCACGCGTACGCAAGGAGTCTTTGGGCTCCTCCTAGGGGTATTCGTGACGCGCGAGAAGTTGGCCAAAGCCAAGACCGCGGTTGCGGCCGCTTTGGCGGTCGACGTGAGCGCGACATCGGCGGCCTCCTCGCGACCGCGATGTTCAATACGGGACGACATTGCACTCCTCCGGGAGGTCACGAGGGGTTCTGACGTGGCCGGTGTCCACTCAGCAAGGGGGGCGACGATCGCCGGCAACTTGCTGCTTGCGCGAACGTTTCTCGGCCAAGGTCAGTACACGAGACCTCTCTTGCCGAAGCGACGGAACCGGGCACGACCGGTCGACCGCTCGCGTCGCATTCTCATATGTAAAGAAGGTCAAAATGTTACTCTAAAATAAGAAAATAAAAATTTTCTTTTTCTCAAGTTATAGCGTTTTTTTGTGCGAAATAAAAAGGGTTACCGTGTCTTGAGGGCGTTGCAAGCGCGAGATGCTCGGATTTTTGTGTTGCGGCGGGCAAACGCTGTTCTAAAACTTCCTCGCGTGGTGTGCGCTGACGCAAGCCGCGCGTTTATTTATATTTAGCGCTGGCGTGCACCAAAATTGATTACGCTATCCTAAAACTTCGTAATATTTGGCGTTTTTTCGAGGTACATTTGGGCGGATTAGCCTCGAGTGTGCTTCTCCTGGGGCACTGGACCCTTGTGGAGAAGCGACATTCGCGGAGTTGACGCCGCGATCTGCGTGTCTCACTTCGCCAAAGTGCAGCCAGAAACCTCGTTAAGGAACACACATTTGAAAAAGAAAAAAAAAAAAAAGAAAACGACGGACGGAAGAAAGGGACGAACACGAAACTTTGAGGCGCTTTGTGTTTGTCCCCTTCTTCGCCCATCGTCTCCGATTTTTTTCTTTTTTTTAGGTAGGTGTAACAATAACCAATCCGCCCGTGAGCAGACTTTTCTTTTTTTTTTTTCAAAGCGGGCTGGCAAGCGCATGAGAAAAAAAAAAAAGACGAAGGAAGGTTTTGAATTCTTTATGTGACAGTTCTAGCTTGTATAAAAAAAAGACGGGTCGAAAGAAATTTTTTTTTTTTTTAAATTTTAATGTCGTTTTTATTTTTGCTTGTTTTCATTTTAAACATACTACTTTCACGAGTAAAACAATTAAATTATTATTTAAACAAAAATTTAGAAAAAAAAAGCGTATCTGATTAATTTGAGGTGGCTCAAAACAACGCTAGTTTATGCGAATATCGGCCATCTTCGAGAGGCTGTCACTCGGGAGAGCGGCAAAAGCGCGATGTGCGCGCTTGGAACTGCCGAAGCAAGCACGCCTCAAGAGCACGCTGAGAACGCCAGTGGAGGAACGTTTACCGCGGCGTGCTAAGCCTAACGACGGCAACGGCGACTGTTCCGACGCTCCGTTCATGTGCGCTTAGGAAAAGAAAATCGAGTTTTTCGAAAACGTTTACGGGACAAGTGGTCATGGCTCTACAAGTTCAGTGATGTGCGAGATCGGTGTGCTAGTATTGCTAGTATACTGAGCGATGCGATGTGCCCCGCGTGCCATGTGTTCGGCTGGGAAACGCGAGGGATTTTCATCATCCCTCAAACTATACATTTTTTAGAGAAGAGGGAGTGCTCCGAGTGGGGTTCTTTCTTTGGACGTTTACGTTGCAACGTGTCGCGTTACACGGAGAATTAAGCGAAAAAAAAAAAAGCTATGCCAGTAGGTATTCGCACGAGTTTTAACATATCATATGTCGACTTGATATCCGTAAACGTCCGCACTTCAGCGTTATCCTCGGCCTTCGACCACCAAGCCCTTCACTAGCAAAAAAGTTTATGCCTCTGCTGCGAAAACTTCCAGTCAAAACCTTGTGAAGACCGTAATGCTGACGTGGAAGGCGCAGCTAATAGTGAGTTTTAGTAGACCCGTGTTTCCCGCTCCGCTAAGCCCCTCCGCTACCCGGAACTCTGCAGCCAAGGCCATCGGCGCGCAGGCGCAGTGGCGGTTTCTTCGTAGCGGAGAGTTAGCGGAGGGGGAGGGAGAAACACGGTCTACTGAAACTCCCTATTGTAGCGGCGTAACGCCGCTACAATAGGGAGTTTCAGGGTTGCCAGGTTGGGCTATTAATAGCCAAATTGGGCTACTTTGTGATGACAACAATTTATAAGTAGTTAAAGTTCAATTATTTTAGAGCAAATATTAAGAAAACGAAGTGTTTCCAAGCTGCATCTTTTCTTAAGAGTCTAAATAATAGGACTGCAGCTATTATAGTAGATTGAATAGATGTAACTGAGTACCACCAAGTTTATTTTGGCTGTACGACATGAGAGCGCCGCGACGCGAGAGCGCACGACAGCAGAGCGTGCGACAGGAGAGCGCTGCGACACGAGAGAGCGTGCCGTTAGAGCATGCGTCACGAAAGCTCATGTGCACGCCCTGGGAATCATCAATGTTTCAGTCTTCAAACATGTTTTCTCGGATCGAACGCTTTACGTCATTTTATTGGTTGAGTACGCAGACCTGTGGGAAGTCTAAAAAATACAATTTTTGCTAACTTGAAATGAATACAACACAATAATCGCATTCTGACTGAATGTGCTACAAAGGTTTATTTCACACGGTGTTGCAAGACGGCATTGCATTTCGACAAGTGTCGACTTGCACCTCCTCTTGGGGACAGCATCGACTCGGTCCTATGACATCTTCATGGTCACGTTCGATACCTTGGAGCGCAAGGCGTCAATAACCTACTGTTGGGAGGATGTGATTGACCATGCCTCCAAACCTCCGGTTTCACGTTCAGAGCGGTTTTTAGCCTTCCTTGCTACCTTCAGGTGAGTCAGGTCATTTGGACCAGACAACGACCGAACCTCTCGAAGGCCATGAGAATCAGGGAAACTCAGCAATAGAGAACATTTTGGTGACATTTGTTCCTTCTTTACACCTGGGGACATTTTTTCCGAAAACTTTTTTTCCGGGGACATGTTTTCCGAAACTTTTTACAAACAAACCGGAGCGCCCCTAGCAGATGCCACCGGTGCCACGCACGCACGATGGGTGTGTGGGCAAGAAGCTCGCCGTCGCCCATAAACCAGTGAAATGCAATGTTATCGGCATCAGTGTGAGTCCCCCTGCCCTTTTTCGCGTTCGAATTGTTGATTCTATGTCTTCCTGACAATGTCTGACTCCTTGAGCGGCCTCAGCGAAATTAACGAGGCTCGTTACATCGCAAAACTTTGCGTGAATAATGTGACATCCGGCGATTCATTCCGCGTGGACGCCGCAGAATGTACACTAAAGCCTGATTCGCATGATGAGATTTCGCTTGCAATTTTCAGTCACGACGTCGCTCGGGCTGCAAAAGCATGAACCGTAGCTGAGATGGTCGACGTTGATACTGAAAATCTCAAGCAGAATCGGACCAAGTGAATCAGGCATAACAAGTCGGTGATGGTCACTGGTAATAATGATCAACATCTTGTATCTACTGTTTACATCGAGCCTGCTTACCAACCTTCAAATTTACATCTTTTGAGGTCTCCACTTACTTCTTATCGCAAGTACCGGACCCACGTTTGGCCTATGGGCCGGTGTCGTCTAAAAGAGCAGACGACAAGCAGAAACGTTTAAAAGAGCAGACAACAGTTCGAACGATCAGGCGGCCGTTTGAACTTGAAGCCGCACTGAACGTAGTCCGCGGGTAGTCCGTACAACTTGTTGGTTTTCCGGCGTTCATGCTGGAACAAAGCAAATAAATCTGATCACCACAAGTACCCATGAATTGAACCCAAAGTACTACCCGCCCAAGCAATCATGGTCTGACGGCGTCTGGTTTTCCCTTTTCTCGGCACATACCCCCGTTCTCAGACGAACCGAGCACATGAAAACTGACCTTCAAACCTTTCTCGACTCTTTTGGTACAGCCCCAGTTGCAGCGTTCCTCAAGCTACCGCTTCCTTTCTCGTCGGGTTTGAAAACCATGTTTCGGGTCCTTGCCGCTGCAAAAGCTGTGCTCTGACGAACAGGTTCCCCGAGGAATGCCCTGTGCTACCAGATCCTTGCGCTCCAAATCTGCGATCGGGCACTCTATGGCTCCGTCGTCGAACTAAACCATAGAGCCATACATTAAAGGGGTAATTAGAGAGTTTTAGTTCATTGCCCAACATATTTTACTGTATATTGGTACCTCCATTGTCAACCAACCTTGAACAGCACATATCGAAGACAACATCCACAAAGCACAAAGCCCTCCAACATCGATAATTCCCAAGGCACGCACATGCGCTCTCGTGAAACGCGCTCTAATGGCACGCGCTCTCGTGCCGTAGCGCTATTTTGTCGTGCGCTCTGGTGTCGCGGCGCTCTGCTGTCGTGTGCTCTTGCGTCATGGCGCTCTCCTGTCGCACGCTCTCCCGTCAGCGCTCTCGTGTTGTGCGCTCTCATGGCGGCCTTCCATTTATTTTACATGCCAAATCTTATTTATTTATTTATTTTCAATACTCCACAGTCCTTTGAGGATATTATAGTGAGTTAGGGAGAAAAAGTATATGACACCTCTGTGCATAGGAAAGGCAGGCGTTGCCTGCAGTAGCCAGCACACATTAAGAATACAGAGAGGGAGGGGGGAATCTTTTGTTTGCATACCATTTCAGGTGGGTGCTCACCTGTCTGAGAAGTCATTAATTAAGTGGTCTAAGTTAAAAATCATATGAGCTTTAGGGTTGGATGAATGGAACATGCCCAGCAACCAGTAGAGGTCAACATGATTGCCCTTATGTGAAGATACTTGGATCCTTGAACAATCTTTTTGGAGTTAGACCTCTTTGTCTAAAATTCATATTAGCTTTTTTTTCAGTAATAAAGTTGTTCCTGATAGAATAGCATCACTAATTCCATAATGGGAAAAAATTCAAGTGAAAATACTCCTTTCATTTGCAGAGTTTGAGTCTGTTATCTTGACTTTGGTGTTTTCATAAGCTCAGTTTCTGGGATAGCCACCAAGCTGTGATTTTATTTTGTTTCCTAAGGTTTATGCGGATGGGCAGCATGGTTGAGTTGCAAAATCGTGGTTATCTTTAGAAGCTTCTGATGATTGTTTTTCATCAGTGGCTGTCCTATCTTAGGAAAGGGTTGAATCTGACATACTTTTATTCTTTTTTGCTTGTTCCTCTTGCAGTCTGTATCACTTGGAAGCCAAATGCTTGATTCGGCCGTTGCTGGACAATGCGGGTGAGTGCGGGTTTTGATTAAATTATATACTACTTGGGACAGTTCTAATTACCTAATGAAAGTTGTTAGCAGAGATATTACTGAGAAAAAAATGGTGGGGCTTTGTTCCTTGCCTTAATTATTTTGTTTCTTGGGGAACATTCTCCCCACGATTGCAGCCTATTCGAGGAAGACACTGCACAATTAGATTTAGGAATTTACTTCAAAACACAGCTGCCATAAGCTAAATGCAGTGCACAGCCTATCTGTTATAGAACAAAGCAAATGTGAACATCAAAATTATGCAAATAGGACAATTTAGTGTATGTGCATTGCATGATGGCAACTTAAAAAATATATATGTTCCTCAAAACATTATTTACACTATATGAGAAGCCAAACTTCAAATGTGGACATGAAGTGTAAGAGTGTCACTAAAGATGTCATTCTAACTAAAAAGAAGAAATGTAAAAATCTTTATTCTGTCTTTTTGCTCACGCTCACACACTCGTTCACTTTTTTATCGGCAATGTTTTTCTCTGACGACCCTTCCCTCGTGTGTCCACGAAGATCTGGGCATGCCTAACTGCCTTGTCGGGAACCTTCTGTGGACGGCTCAAAAACAGTCCGACATACTATGGCTTCCAGCGAGATGACTGGAGGAGTGACCAGGGCCCCCGGCAGAGGGCGGGACGTTCCGGCAGCGGAAGAGGAGGAGAAGCTCCCTCCAGGCGGCTCGAGTGGCAGCCGCCGCCTGTGGCGCGTGCTCAAGGCGGCGCTGCCCGTCCAGGTGGCCCTTTTACTCATGTACTGCGTGGCCTGTCTCATGGAGCCCCACTGCTGCGACCTGCTCAACAACTTCCACGCCTCCTTCGGCCCCCAGCTCAGGTGCGTGGCCGCCGCGAGTCGGGAGCCTTCTTGCTTAGCCGTACAGTTTTAATGTAGAATGTGTTTCATCAGTTGATTTCTGTTAGAGTGTTGTCACGATCGAGCGTCATGAACAAGCGACACATTGTTGTACTTTGGTATAAGATACGGCATATTAATCAGTAATTAGGTGCCCACATAAATTCTTGATGTACATGACCATTTTTTTACTATGTAAATTTAGGGCATGATATCAGCAAAAATAAAATTAACTTTTTTACAAAAAAAATTTTTTTTTTTTTTTAGTTCAAAGGCATCTGTATTTGAAATAATTTTTTCATGCATATCCCATGCATGAAAAAATTGCCACGTCTCCCTCGGCATGAAATGACCCTGCTGGAAATCAGTGTCATGGTGAGAAGTCAAGATGATCAAGGGTAAAGGGTATATGGAACACAATAGTGACAAAAGCATTTGCATGTAGGTTTTATGGGCGTTTTGTGAAGCCTACCTGCTCTGCTAGCCTTGGAACATGATACTGGTGCATTAAGATCCTTCTTTGCTAACAGCCGTCTAAGATAAAGTGCTTCTACTTTCCCACATAGGATACAGGGACGGGATCATAGGGGTCTGAAGGGGCTTGGTGCTAATTTGTTTCACCTTCTTGCACTTTTGATGCTTATTAATTGGCTCCATTAGCTTGAAGCATCGGCTACATATGGACTAAAGCTGAAATGAACTAAAGTCAAGTTGATTTTAAGAGCTTTTTTTTCCTTCATTGACTCCATCAACATTGTATTGCTTTGTTGGAAAATAAAGGATATTATTATTAGTAGTAGTAGTAGTAGTAGTAGTAGTAATAGTAGGTCAACAGTTGTTTTGGGCTTAAATGTTTTGAGCATGTGGAACTTTACGCTAAGGACCTAGGAGAGGCTGCATTGTTGGATCCAAACGTTTTACCGTATTTACCCGAGTAATAGCCGCATTGTTTATGAAGAAAACCTGAGGATTCGCTTTTCCGCGGACCATGCGGATTGCCAATCACTGTGATCGACAGCATGATTTCAGCGGTTTACAGGACAGAGATAATGCCTTCGCTCAAAGATACCATCTGTAAAGATTGCATTTGTATGGAGACTCGTGTTCTCGATCTAGTTATTCGCTATGTTATTTATGTGCAACGTGATGATTGGCTTTATATGTGCTTTGCTGGAAAGTAGACGCGAGGGCCTTGTTCATAAATAGTGCGGCTATTACTCGAGTAAATACGGTATCTTCAGTGCATTAAAGAAGTAACAAATGCATTTTTTGTTAGCATACGATGCATGAAAGCCGACTTTTTTTGTGCTGGAATGTCTATGGTGTCAGCTTCCAAATGGACAATTCAACTGTTTGTTGTTAGTTTTCTCACTGCTGTTGAATTTGTTGAATTATCCTTTGCATTTAACTTTTTACTAACTCTCCCCTGCCTCATCTGCTACAGATACACCCAAGGACCACCGCCAGTGTGATCTGGGAGTGTGACGCAAGGCAAGAATACGAGGTCCATTCTGAGAGGAGTGCGAAGGAGTTTCGTTTCATCTTGCATCGGACCTCACAGTTCTCTTTGCCACGCCTGCACCACAACCTCCGCGCTCCAGAGACATTGCCACAGAGTGCCGGTGGAGAGGGTGGCCACGCCACGACGGTTTCACTGCCATTTCTGTTTTCGAGGAGCAGATTGTGTCGTAGGCTTAGCCTTTTTTTTTACTTCTGTTTTGTTTTGCTTGATGTTTATCTTTTCTACTGCACCACTGTCGGTGGAGTGTGTGGCTCTGTGTGCAAGCATGCGGCGGCCACAACATGGATGGCTCGGAAGGCATGACCCAGTTTACAAAGTGGTCGCTTCCTTTTGCAGGCACTGATGAGAAGCGCTTTTGGTTTGGCGAGTGTAGAGGAAGCCTCGCAAAATGCAGCATGATTGGTGCAACTTGCAGTTACCTAGAGGGGCAGCAGTTTGGTGTGTGTAACAGGAGGCCCGTCCATTAGCGCAAAGCATGCAGCATACACGAGGTTTTCCTCATGTAAGCTGAGGAGTCTTGCAAGAGTACAAGCTTAGAATTGTTGCACCAGGCATGAATGCGCTTGCAGCATTGACCTGTGGAAGGGTGATAAATGTGCAGTCGCACTGGCAGAGGTGTTTTGTTTTCTTGGAATAGGGGCCAAATTCATTTTTTATGGAAGCTGGGTTTCTAACTCAGTATTTTTTGTTGTGTTTCGTGCCAGTGTTCATGTCTAAAAAGGCTCGCTTGGTTTGGTGGACATTCGTAAAATTCCATCACAATGTTAAGTTATGTTGAGTTTCACCTTTGGTTTGTTTTACTGCTTGTTCTTTATCGATACAAGACAGATTTTTGTGGTCCTCTTCAGGTTCTTTAATGGTGGCTTCAGAAGCTCAATATTGCTTTCATGGCTCACCTCAAACAATCGGTGTTTCTTCTCCCAAGTGAATTTTTCGTTATTCTCTGCCTTCCCAATCAGAGCATCTCATGAGAAATCATATGAGGAATTCTGTGCCCTACAGCAGTTTTCTCACCTCCTTGAACCCCAGAGGGCTGTTCCTCTGGAGGTCTTCAAAAATTTGGGATAGATTGACTGAGCATTCTGCAACGAAACGTTTGCCACTTTTGGTAATGTTGTCGGCCACTATGGTGTTTTTCTTGTCCACTTAAAGGTGGGGAGGTGTCTTTACTATATTTGCACATCTTGCCACTCTTGTTCATCTCGCAATGCTCGACTTTAATCATGGTTTCAATCCTGGACAACTGCCATTTAAAGAAGTTTACTGCCTCAATGCATAAAATTTCTAGAATCCAGAGAGTTTCTGAAGCATATTGTTGGTATCTAGGAGAGTTGGTAGAGTGCAAACCTGGCCTCTATCTAAGTTGTAAGGCTTATTGAGTGAGTATCCCAAAGTATATCTCATGCAGAAGGCAAGAACACTATACAGTATGGTAAAAGCACTGAGGAAAATTGTCATTGATTGCCTCGGATTGGTGTTTGTAGTCAATGGCACTTCAAGGCTTTGTTGGAAGGATGGGTTTTGTTTATTGGCACTATATTTTGCTCCTATTAGCCTGGCAAGTAAATGTCCAAGCTTGTGACTCTTGGTACCATAACACAATCATTGCATGCAGATATTTGTGTTTATACAGCTAAAGTTCATCTGCTCTTGGAGTCTGTGTTTTTGTTTTGTTGCATTTTGTTCTAGTTGTTCATTGAGGATTTTTTTTGTGTGTACATTATACCACTTAGTTGAAGTTCCATCTTTTTATATTTTTATCTACTCTCTATGTCTGTCTTCTAAACAGTGTCTCAAACGGGGAATGAAAGCAAGAAAACATGTTTTGTACGAACTCCCCCTAAATGCTTACTTCTTCAAAAGTTCCTCTGATAGCCTCAGATATTGGTAGGCCACGCTGGCCAATGCATTGTGATCGTATCATTCTTGAACATTCAGCAAATAGTATTTTTCTACTTCTAATTCAATGTCCTTGAGAGTACCTCATCCCAGTGCTGGCAGCTATCTGGCTTGAGGTTTTGAGTTTTGGTGACTGGTGTCTGCTTTTGGAACCCCCCTCAATGCATTTACGTTGTACCAGCTTTTTAGCTGGGACTTTTCTTAGTATTTTCATTGTGCAGATCGAGATATCATTGTTCTAAATTATTTTTGTAGCGTGTGTGCTCTAGAGAGCGGCATTACAAATACGCTCCCTCGTTTTTTAGGCATTCTATGGTATCTCCCTTTCATAGATTTTGTTGAAAGCTTGGCTCGACTTCTGATGCGTTGCTTTTGTTTTCTCCTTTGATCCAAAGTCAATAATCTGATGAGAGCAGTTGGTGGATATATTGTTTCGCTGAGCCAGAAAAGCATAGCAGTGCATCCCTGTATTATTTATTGCTCGCTCGATCACCCGACGATTAAGTGGGTACAAATTTCACTTGGAAGGATTGTTCATTAGAGCTACAGGAAGTGTGCCTTATTTTGACCCCGATCTAGTCACAACAGACAAAGTCTCAGCAATCTTGGAAAGGCATATTTACATCGGAATTATCCTAGAACCACATTGTTAGAGGCATTCAGTCTCACAGAACCCCATCTCTCTTTATGAGGAGAAAATATATATGCTTTTTGTTCTTTTTGTTTCAAAAGTGACCTATAAGATGTGTTCTCGATAAACATACGCATGGAGTAGTTATTACTGAGCGACAGCATTGCATGTTCTATTAGATTGCTGTGGGTTCTCAATAGTGGCCTTTATGTAGGTATGAAATAAAAAGTTCCAACAGCATCAACTTGCTGCGACGATTTTTCTGAAATTTGGAAAACTGCGTCGGTTTTGAGGCTTGCGTCACTGACAGAATGAGGACGTGCCTCGAACTCAAGCTCGTTACCTTCCAAGGTGCTTTGGCTGCGCGCTCGAAGCTCACGTGATGCCCAAGTGTTGTTGAAGGTCTCCCCTGTCAACGCGCGATTCTGACATGCTGCTGCGATGGCGCTGCTGTCGGTGCATGCGCAGACGTTTCACCAATCCGGTTTTTGCGCACGCGCAGTGCCCACACGTGGTGTGAGCAGGCTGCTTGTGCACACTGGCGTATAATGGCGTCAAAAAAGGAAACTCGTTTGAAACCAGAGCTTTTGCGGCCTTTTAGAAACGCCAGCTGCCCAACAGTTGGCAAGCAGCAAAGTTGCTTTCACCTCAACAGGGCTGGCTTCAGACAGGGCACTTTTTATAATCGCTTTTTGGCCTTAAAATTTTTTTTACCAATGAAACGAGAAACTGAGGCGATCGAAATTTTCTTGAAGGTTTCTTTAGGTGGTGCATTTATCATACTCAAATTTTACGTCTAAATTTTAAGAAACATTTCAAATTAAAAATCTGCTTTTATGTACAGGGAGTAAAACGTTAGAAACCGTCTGGTCAGCACTGCTACTCACAGATGTCAGCCAGACTGTTTTTGCCATTTTACACCCTGTGCATAGCAAAAAAAACGGGATTTTTTAGAATGGAAACTTGGGCAAGTAGGTGATTCCTATTCTAAGGTTAATAGTGCAATATCAATCACACACACTGACACACAAATGGACAAACACACGCGCTGACTTACAACTCGTTTTGTATTCTGTTAATTCCTTGTTCTCGTCATTGGGTTGACTCTCGCGATCCCCATGACCAGCACAATAGCACGAATACAGGAAACACTTCTAAATATGCTTCTCGCTCCTCACCACAATTATCAGGATAAAAATTCGAGCTCTTTTTAAGACAGCGTTAAGGCTGGACACTAACACACTTGTCAGCGAGAAGTGCTATCTTTTGAGCTTTCATTATCTCTCTGGTCAGCGGGTCCCGACTTCTTCCTATTGCAGCCCATTTTTCCAAATTCGGAACGCATCCACAATTCCTACAGGTTATGCCCAGGTGTTCCGAAACGACTCTGTGGGTGTTATAGAAGTGCTCTCTTAAGGCCTGTTCACACATACAGCGGAGCGCTAAGTAAGCGCTACGCGAGCGCTCCAAGGAGCGCACATGTGGCGCTTCCTAGCGCGTGACTTAGTTCTAACATAGCGCGCGATTAGCACTTCTGTAGCACCTTGTTAGCGCTCCAGTAGCGCCTTGTTAGCGCTTCAGTAGCGCTTCTTGTACCGCAGTGCTGCGGATTAGCGCCTGCACTGTGGTACCGGTTCCTGTGGTTGGGTGTGCATCAGCAGCACCATGGCGGACATGTGGGATGCTGAAATAGAATTGCGACAAATGCACTTAAATACGCGATTAGTGCATATCTGTGGGGACGGCTTAACGCCCAGAAGAGCCTTCTGCGTGCGCGAAATCTTTCGCCACCGAGATACCCACGGGTACCCAGCGAACCTTGTTCCCAGGCTGAGGGACCGAGACACAGAGCTCTTTCGAATGCGAGTATTTTTAACTGCGTGTCTTTGAAACCAGGGTCACGCATGTCGAATAGAAATCGATGAGGTCGTACGCAATCAATTAGTCGCTCAGAGTCCATGAATCTGGATCGCCTGCCCGACCCTTTGCTTGGAGAGCGTCTGTTTTACTTCCTCTTCTTTCAATGCCAAACGAAAAACAACAACAAAAGAATCGCCGTGCACGCGCTGTTCCGCAGCAGCAGGCACGGCACAAGGAGCGTGAGAGCGCTAACAAAGCGCTTCTGTAGCGCTAACAGAGCGCTTCTGTAGCGCTAACAGAGCGCTAATAAAGCGCTTCTGAAGCGCTAACAGAGCGCTACATCACGCGCTAGGAAGCGCCACATGAGCGCTTCTTGGAGCGCTCACGTAGCGCTAACTTAGCGCTTCGCTGTATGTGTGAACCGGCCCTTAAGCGATCGTTTAAACACCTGCCGGTTTGTCCTACATATTCTCTACCACATGAGAGTGGAATATAGAATAAGCTACCCCCTCAATGCAAGTAACAAACTTCTTCTGGTAACTCCGTTTTCAATATGTTGATCATATCTAGACCGCGTTAGGCGGAGAAAGGGGGAACGGGACGCGATGCGGCCCTCTCTTTGAGGCGTCGCAGGGGCGGGACGTGCGAGTGCGGTACCGGTTGGGGGGCCTCCTTGCGCGAGTGATTGCGCGGACGGGCGCTTTGCCGAGCGGCGTGTGCGTGCCCGCGCCTTAGGCACGGGGTTGGCTAGCTTGAAAGCCTGTATATACTGTACATAGCGCGTTTTCGGGTTTTGGCTTTGTTCTGGGCATGACACCACTGTTGTAAATAAAATTTTCTAAACACTTTTTTGTACAACCAGCTTGACGGTGTGCTGACACATTAACTTTCCTACATAAGCTCATAAGCTAATTCGGTGCAGAAAAGGCTACGTTGATGTTGATACGGTTTCCTATCGTCTTAAGTCCGTCTGACACCTTATTTATATATGGAACAACAGCCGTCTTTTCCTTTTTATCTCTTACTTCGCTTATTACTTAATTGCTCCAACTGATTTTCTTTAAAACATCTGCTGCAGCCGTCAGTAAGGAACTATGGTACTAAGGTTGAAAGCTGAGCTAGTTAGTGATCGTTGTACATAAGGGAATAAAACAGCGCGAAGATAGAAATAGAAATAGAAAAAGGATAATCAAGAGTATGGTACCCCGCTGGCTTGCAAACCTGCTAATCTGTGCATTGAAGCTTACTTTCAGAGAATGAAGACATGACTCTTTAAGAGCATTCGTGAGTCATAACTTAACAATACCTCTCTTCACTAGCTTAGAGTGTGCCTATATGAACAAAAGGAGTGGTTTCTTTTCTCTCGGTTCGTATGACCAGCATACATGATAATCCGCAAAAATTAACCGAAGGTCCAAAAATCACAAGGACCCTTCCGTGGGAAGTTCGTGTGTTACTTCTAGTGGATCTATATAGGTCGTGAAACACGAAAGAACGTTTGGTACCATAAGCTGAAAGCCCTTAGCTGCGCAATCTAGGATAACCAAGAAGTCGTCTACAAAGCGAAACACCTTCACAACAATAGAAGCATCTAAGCACTGTAACAGGTTCCGGTCATGATGTGCGAGGTAAAGGTTACTCAAAACTGGCGCAATACACGATCCAATGCATACCCCTTGCTTCTGCAAAAAAAGTTTTAGGGACGAAGCTCCTTAGGGACTAGCCTCGTCCGTCCGGCGTCCGTGCTCACATCGATTGCCATCCCATCTGTCTTCTTAAAAAAAGAAAAAATGTTTGCGCAGTCGACAGGATTCGAACCTGTGCGGGGAGACCCCAATGGATTTCTAGTCCATCGCCTTATCCACTCGGCCACTTTTTTTTTTCTTTATTGGTTAACCACTCGGCCACGACTGCGGGACGAGTAGGGGGCTCTGCGATGTGGTAGTAACTCAAGAGTTGGGGATGTCATGGATGAAACGTTGCCTGTAGCCGCTCAACGTCTATGTAGGAAAGGGCGCTGCGGTCAAATGCGTATATAATCGCGTTAAACTTTGCATGCATGGTCTCAACGTTTATAGACGAGAGGGCGCTGCGGTCAAATGCTCTAATGCGTATATAACCACGTTCCATACCACACATTCTCTTTCTGACATGGATGAAAACGAACGAAAAGCTCGGCATGCTGCGGCTCAGCGTCTACGCAGACAGCAAGCTGCTCCGGAGACTAGGGCGCGAGAAGCTGCTGCAAGGCGTCAAAAACGCCAAGCGGACCCGGAGTTGAGAGCTGGGGAAGCGGCGGCACTACCTATGAACAAAATCAGCACTACATATGAAGGAGGGAAGCGGCGGCTTCCATGAACAGAATCAGCACTACCTTTGGGAAGCGGCGGCACTACCTCACATCAGCGTTATAACGCTGATCATCAGCACCACCAGAGCTTCGCCCCAATCAGCATCGTTCACCACGTAGAGATCCGGTCATTTTTTTTCTTCCCAACACGCAAAGGTAGATCTTAAATATACCGTGAGTAGTTCAAGGAAACCACTTTGGGATATTCCTGACGCAGTCTGAAACGCAATAACACCAAATTGGAAGGAAGGGACGGGAGGTGGGCCTTTCGGACAAGTACAAGAAAGATGACCACTTTAGGAAGCTGTGCGGGATTTCGGACAGGCTGGCGTTCCTTCCTCCACAGCTTATGTTCGAAGGAATAACCTACATCAGGGAAAAGTCTACCGATGGCATAGGCGACCTGCTTTACTACTTGATTGCATGTATGTGAACGGCCCCTTCCGTGCCCCTTCTGCTCCTTCTGCGGCGGCGCCCAGAGCGAATTCTTCCCTTTGCCTGACCGTGCGCCGACGACGACCGGAGCTTCCCCCCAGGATTGTGGAATACGTACGACGCCACTCTTCAGGATAAAGACTGGACGAACAACACCTTCGAAGGATAGAATACCGGGATCCAGAAGCTCGTCGGCCACGGCCCACGCCCATCCTAGCGTCTGGAGGTTGATAAACTAGATCAAGCGCTCGTTGCCACGGCATTGACACAAGCCCGAAAAGGTGAACCCCCGGTGAAGCGGGTGCGAAAAACCACTCTGCGCCTGCAGAATCGTCTGAAAAATATTGGCGACGGTTCCAGGTGCACCCAGGTCCACCAAGACAGCTGGAGGCAGTAGGGAACTGCATTCGCTTCTTACCAATCGATAAATAAACTTGCTTCCACTCTAATAATAATAAAAAAAAAGCATGCGCCTGTCAGATTGAATTTATCGTAGCATTTTAGCGGCGCTCGCATGTACCTATGTTTTCGCACTCGTTTTAAGACCAAAATGCAATTTTTTCTGGTGAGCTTTTGTCCGCGGTGAGCTTCTCTC